GGCGGGTTGGCCTACCCGACACTTCGCAGGCGCCTCAGGAGCGTAGCTTGCGGCCGGCACTACATAGCTCCTTGGCGGGTTGGCCTACCCGGCACTTCGCAGGCGCCTCACTAGGGAGGGATCCCACAGAAAGCACGTGCCCGTCATTCACCGCAACGAAGCCATTCGGATCTCGTATAGCGCCTGATAGGTATGCAATATAATGCTTTCAGCGCATGTCTGCATTGCGGGCTGGCCTACCTTAAGTATCGCAGGCGCCGACCTCCCCTCATTTGCCGAATAAATCTAAGAAAAACGAACCTATTTTCTGCGTAGCTGCGTTGCGTAGCTCGCGGCTGGCACTGCGCGGCTGTCCGGAGGGTTAGCCTACCCGACACTTCGCAGGCACGCTCACGAAATGCGTCACCTCATAGGTGCACCGAACGGTTTCTGTGGATGGCCCCCGGGTTAAAGGGGTGGCAACGGTATTGTTATTATTATTATCTCACGTTTACCGGGATCCTCTGCAGCGCCCCAGTCTTCTGCAGGCCTCCCGTTTGGTCGTCGAGTTCTCCAAAGTTGAGGGCTGCGACGAACCGGGCAACGCCATTCGCTACTACAACGTTGCGACACGCATGGTCAGCAAGACGGACTTTTCTCTGAGCGGCAACTTCAACGTTACCCGCTCCGTGCCAAGTATCGACTCGGTGAGGCATAAGCTAGATAGCGTGATCTCTTTTGCCCATCTCTTGCGATTTTGGGGCTGAGCTTGCCGATCCGTCGCCTTTAGATTCAGATCCAGATCACAAAGTGTCGGGAGAGTGTTTCGTCCAACTCCTGCGAGCGCTTCCAGACCTGGCGCTTCGAAAATAACCCATGCAAAGGGTTCGATAGCCCTTCCGCTGTCTGGGGCTCTGCCCGGGATCGAACAAAGCCTCGCCTTAGCTGTCCCTTCAAGGAGGTGAGCAGAGGTGCCCGTCACCATTAGGCTAGGAGACCCGAACTGTAATGTAAATGTAAAGCACTGTCCCGTCCTTGTTGCAGGGCACCTACAGCTTGCAGAACATTACAATCAGCACGTCACTCCTCGAGTCCGTGCCTCTGCCCTGGGAAGGAAACGTCTGGCTTGTGCGCTTCGGCATGCTTGACACCAAGACACGCTTTCACATCTGCACGGATTCGGAGATGCACGTGCATCGGGTCCGCGACAACTGAGGGCGCTGAGCGGGGGTGAAGAGAGAGGGGCTTTGGCCGTGATATTTGATATCAGATGAAACCTTCATTCGCCTTTTTGTCAAAACACCATTGGACATTCGCCACTTTGTCATTTATTTTTCAAGGCGAATGCCTCTTATCTCTAATACTGTGCATGATAGTGACTCCAACTAAAATGCAAAACGGAACTCAGAAGAACAACCTGGGGCATCCGTCGCCGCGCTGGCTCCAGTCTACCCCAGACACAGAGATCGCATATACCCTGTCTGTCCTTCCTTAATAAACGAATGACCGCTGGACGAGTTGGTGGCCCTCTATTTTGCACTTTATTTCGACCCTCGTTGTCGCGTCGCTTTCGTTAAATCTCCATTTACGTTTATCCACGAGTCACGCCGCGCGCGGCATTTTGACCGACAGAGATACGATCGGCTCTGCAACATTGCACGAGTGGCAAGCCGCACGACAATAAATGAAATCCCTCGTTGGCGCCGCTCTTGAAGCTAGTCCCATCAGTGGCGCCACCGGCTTCGCGGCCAGTATGTCCTGACCGTGATTCTAGTGGTAAGGCCTGCGCTAGTGAGCCAGGCTGCTGCCGCCCATTGTTTGTCTTTGCATGTGCGTTTGTCAGCCTGCTCCAGGGCGGCGCCATGGCGATATGCTCCTCTGCATAAATCTCGCCCTCCTCCTCTTCCTCGCCATGCACCCCGTCTGCTGGTCGAAGCGCCCAAGTGTAAGTCAGACCATTTTTCTCAGAGAGCAGGTGCTCCTTTTTTAGGGCGACCTGCTGTGTTTTACGGTAAAATTCGTACGGGTCTGTTCACTCCGCTATTTCCCCAGCAGCGCCCACGTGTGCTACAGACCTCCCGTTTGGTAGTCGAGTACCCCAAACTAGAGGCGTGCCGCAACGAGCCAAGCAACGCCATCCAGTACTTCAACTTTCAGACCCGCATGATCAGCAAGACGGAAACTTCTATGAACGTCGACTTCAACGTCACCCGCTCGGTCCAGAATGTCGACACGGTGAGGCATAAGTCAGTGTGACGTTCCTTTGCCGGTCGCTTTTTTGTTCTCTGGGACTGACCATGCCAATTTCTCGTCCTCACAGATCATGTTCCAGCTCACCAAGTGCCGGGAGAGTGTCTCGTCCAACTCCTGTGAGCGCTTCCAGAACTGGCGCTTCGAAAATAACCCGTGCAAAGGGTGGGAGGACCCCAACGCCATCTGGAGCCCCGCACTGACGAATGTAAAGCCCCGTCTGAGCTGTCCCTTCAAAGAGGTGGGCAGAGGTCGATCACCTTTACTATAGATCCAAGCGTACACCAGTTTAACTATTTTTCTTTCGTTCTAATGATTTTCCCTTCATTTTCTTCTGATTTTTACTGATTGTTTTGCAGGGACCTGCGCAGGGCGGCACTATCTGGGCACCTCGCTCTGCGCGCATGAAATAATGACACACACCGGTCGCCCGCTTTGCGCTGTAGATAGCAAGGATAGGAGGGGGGCGGGGACTTTCCATTCTGGTAGAGACAGTCTTTAGGGGACTGTATAAAAAGTGCACCTATGCCCACCCGGAGCGCCTGGCCCTGCCCTGCCCGGGCAGTGAGGTACGGGTGGGCTGTTTGCTGCCCACTAGCTGTGCGCTCGTGTGCGCCTCTCTCGCACCCACGCGTTTCGCCGCCTCTGGGGTGCCTGGAGGTGCCTGTCATTTGGCGGGCTCTTGCGGTGGCAGCTTGTGGCAGCGCTTGGATCGCACGGGCACCTCGCCGGCGCAATCCGAGGCGCTCGCTGAAAGGTGCCCAATGCCGCCCGCCCTACGCAGGTCCCTGTTGTTTTGTCTAATTCTTTGGAGAGTGTACTTTGGAGTGAGGTATACCTTTGCGCAGAGGTGTCCTGTGGGTGGTATGCCCGCACTGGAATGTAAAACACTGTTCCGTCTTTGTGGCAGGGCACCTACCACGTGCGCAACATCACGACCTCGCCACTCTTGGCGAAGTTACCGCTGCCCTGGGAAGGCAACGTCTGGCTGGTGCGCTTCGGCATGCTTGACACCAAGACCAAGGCCGGCATGCACGTTTGCACGGACATGGAGATGCACTTCCACCGGATCCGCGACAACTGAGCGGCTGCTCCGAAATCTTTTTAGCAGATGTTAAATAGCCTTTGACTAAACTTAAAAAATATTTAAGCAACTTTAAGGTGTCAGCTAGCTTTTACTCTCGACGCAAGAGAACCAAGCGGAGACCAGAAAAGAATTTCCCTGGCACTGGGTGGCTCTGGGGGAAATCGAAGTGTCCGGCTGAGTGAATATCGTGCCAAGACCCCACCCTTACCGTGCCTAACAATACCGGGTGTCCGGAACAATACGCGGCAGCCGGATGGGTGGCCTACGCACTGGCTCGCAGGCGCTGGGGGCGAGGGGGGAGCGGTTAGAGGTGGCGGGAGGCTGCCGGTCCCCTCCACCGCTCGGCCGCTAGAGCGCGCGCTAGAGTCACCCTCGCAGGGAGTAGCGTGGTGGGAACGGGCGGCAACTTGCGAAGGGGTGGGGCGCATGAACCTCGCGCAACCGCGAGCTACCCCGCGGTTTCGCGGGGGTGCTCTTGGATGCGCGAGGACCCGCGGCAGGACTTGGACTCATCCCCCGCGGATCCGCGGAGCACCCCTCGCGGATCCGCGGAGCACCCCTCGCGGATCCGCGACGCACCCTCGCGGCCCGCGGAGCACCCCTCGCGGGTCCGCGACGCACCCTTGTGGCACCGCGAAGTACCCCTTTGCGGAACTGCGGCGCACCCCTCGCGTGTTCACCCTTACTTTCCTCCCCCCTCCTTCGTTCGTCAGTGTTCGGAGCATTGCCTTACCCCACCCCCACCCCTTCGCAAGTTGCCGCCCGTTCCCACCACGCTACTCCCTGCGAGAGTGACTCTAGCGCGCTCTAGCGGCCGAGCGGTGGAGGGGACCGGCCGCCTCCCGCCACCTCCAACCGCTCCCCCCTCGCCCCCAGCGCCTGCGAGCCAGTGCGTAGGCCACCCATCCGGCTGCCGCGTATTGTTCCGGACACCCGGTACTGGACGCATGAATACCACCACTGGGCGGCACGTCAAAGGGGAGCGCCTCGACCAGCTCAGCTCGGCGGGGAAGTTCTTCTGTCTGTGTATGGCCTGTGTCAAACCTTAACAATAAAATTCTTAACCACTACAAATAAAAGTCGTACTATGAATATACCCTATACAGGGTGGTCCACCGACCCGTTCCTTTATTTTGCTTATACTGTACCGGATGCAGGCGTGCGGGTTGGTTGCATACTCGCACGGGGCCATAAGGCGCCGCGGTGAGCGACGGTACGCAAGTCTGCCTGCACGCCTACGGTACAGTATATACGGTACAGTATAAGCAAAATAAAGGAACGGGTCTGTGGACCACCCTCTATGGTGTTCAAGGGTACCTGAAAAGGAAGTGAGAAAGAGAACAAACAAACTGATTTCTGTCTTCATCTAGTGATAGGAAAAAGAAATTTATCATGGTAGTTTGCCGTAATCTAACCTCTGAAATATGAGGGTAGCTCGAATATGATTTGAAAGTTTCCTAATTCTCAATGACTGTACACTGTAAATCTGGGGTGTCCAGCATCTGAGCGACTTGAGTCGCACGATCACGATCCACGTTTTGTGCAACTTGAGTCGCACTATATACGTTCTGTGCGACTTGAGTCACACGATCCACGTTCTGTGCGACCTTAATCGCAGATTTACAAGTGTAGAGTCACGTGGTGAGCTCGACAAATCAGAGCCATTGCGGGAAGAAAAAAAAATAAGTCAGTTAGTTCTTTTGCTACTTCCGTTCTGGACGGCCTGGAACATTCATATTTACTTTCCGTCCCGTTTACCCATGTGTCCCGCCGCGTGTGGCATTTTGAACCTCAGATACGATCGGCTCTGCGAGTTTGCACGAGTAACAACCGTCGGCACGACAAAAAAAGAAATCCCTCGTTGGCGTCGCTCTTTACACTTAGTCCTATCAGTAGCGCCAGCGGCTGACCGCATACTCCTGCCGGAACGGCCTGCGCTAGTGGGACAGGCTGCTCGCCTGTCTCGCCTCATCCCCCACGACGAGCGCCGCCGTGCTTGTTTGTCAGCGTGCTCCTGGGAAGCGCCATGGCGATATGGTCCTCCACATCCTCGCCCTCCTCCTCCTCCTTGACATGCATCCCGTCTGCTGGTCGAAGCGCCCAAGCGTAAGTCGGGCCATTTCACAGGGAAATGCTCCATTTAATGCTACTTTCTGATTTTTTACTTTACAATTCGGATGGGGCTTTTTACTCCGTTATTTCCCGAGCAGCGCCCTGGCGTACTCCAGGCCTCCCGTTTGGTCGTCGAGCTAGCGAAAATTGAGGGCTGCACCAAGGAGCCGGGCAACTCCATCTCGTACTTTAACTTTCATACCCGCATGATCAGCAAGACGGATGCCTCTATAGACGTCGACTACAACATCAGCCGTTCGGCCAGTCGTATCGACACGGTAAGGCATCAGACAGCGGGGCTTATTTTGAATTTGTCGATCGCTTTTGTGTTCTCCGGAACTGACCTTGCCAACTGCCCTTCCCAGGTCATGATCCAGCTCACCAAGTGTCGGGAGGGCATCTCGTACAACTCCTGCGAGAGATATCAGAACTGGCGCTTCGACAACAACCCGTGCAAGGGGTTTGACGACCCCTCGGCCATTTGGAGCTTCGTGATAGTGAAAACACATCCCCATCTGACTTGTCCCTTTAAGGAGGTGGGCGGTGGGCAGAGGTCGAGGGGTACTCACCTCAACACATCCCCATCTGACTTGTCCC